GTACATGCAACAGCGCCCCAAAGAAGTCATTTTCCTTCTAGGGTAGTAGGGGTTGAATAGCCACCTCAAGCCCAAAACATTGAACACCCAACCTTTAGATTTCGAAGCATAACCCCCCCAAATCATACACCCTGCCTTCAAACTCCAATCTTATATAATCTAGTATATGCTTTATATAACCCAATTATAGTGAGTATTCATTCTCAATTTGCCTTTGTATTTGATTCATCGCCTGCAAGGAGCAGATCCCGCCTGCGCAGCCTTCAATTCAAATTTGCATTTGATCCTCCATTAACCCTAAACCTTACAGTAGCTTCCATCTTAGCTTCCATTCCCCTGTATAATTCTATGTACCCCAGATATTTGCTGGCTTTAGGTCGCTTGCCTCTGCGCTCCATTGCTCTTGGCATATCTCTGGGGTGCGAGGCTTCGGGGTGTTGACTCAAACCCTAACCCCCAAACCCTTTTCAGGTTTGAGGGTTTAGAGTGATAGGTTTAGGGTTCATAGGCTTCAGGGGCCTTGGTGCAGGGTTGTAGGTTTTCAGGTCCATGCAGAGGCTTAGGAGCTCAGTGTCGAGGTTTTGAGGTCTCAGGTTGGGGTGGGGCTTTTCCTTTCAGATTCTCCCACTGAGCTGCTTGGGTAATACAGGGCTCAACAATAACCATGGTATGATCCTCGATTCCTTGTAGAAGTATGGTATACGAAATTATGTTGGTAAACTTCGCGCCACCGTTCGGAAGTTGTAGACACAACGTTCGTCCCCCCCGCACATACGGTAACCTGCGCATCCCTTCCGAAACCATAACCATGTTCAATGTCGAGTGAGTCGGATTACACGAGCATCCATGACCAAACCATAGTGAAGCTCGTCTTCGACAGCATACGATGACCTGTGCATATGTGCACAAACCATAATTTTTGATTGAGTCCGGTGAGCAGACGAAATCACATGGATGCGAGCACGACACCTTGCCCAATCATTCAAACGTTCACGCAAAGACCTGCGCCTTAAATCGACTTGTGCCCCTGACCTGCGGTAATACCCCACCTGAAGCCCATGCCTTGTGAAGCCATGCCTAGAGCCTGATTTCCTCCATCAAGAGTGTGGTAGGTATTACTACTGCGGTCAGCCCTTGGCCAGAGTGACAGCCTCTTATTTGGACGACTCGCCGGTGGCGGAAAGCCTGGTGACCTTGGTACCTGTGACAGATTAGGATTTTTTTTGGTAATGGTTTTATCAAGGATTTCTTGAAGCATAGTTTCTGAGGTTGCTGTAGGTAGGTGCCCCCTGATTTCGAGAAACTCACGCATGTCAAATGTTCAGTCCCTGTACCATATAGGTTTATGGTCACCTTTCCATGCTCTTTTCTTTGGACGCAAGACTGATGCTTTCAAGCTTTTGTCTGTTTATGCAATTCACTTCGCTAAGACCTGAAACCTCCAAATCCCTGCAACAACAGAACCTTGACATGCACCCCATGCGCGAAGCCTTAAGCCCAAAGAGCACTTAACTTCCAGGTGGGGTCATCCGGCATTTGGTCCAAGACTGAAGCGCTGAGTCCAAATTCTAACCTGCAGCTTAAAACTTTAATCCGAAGGCTCATGGGCCTATGGGTTAAGGTTAGCACTGAAACCCTAACCCGTAAACCCTCAAAGCCTAAAGCTATGGTTTTAAGGGAACTGAGGTGTGGAGCCTCCTGGCAGTTTTCTGTTCCATGGCAATTCAGATCCTTCCACAGCCGCGCTACCCGGCCTTTCAGAAGCCCTGAAGACCTGAATTAGGGAGTGTTTAGGCTTCGTTTAGGGTCTAAAACTTGGGTTTAGGGTTTAGGCTTTGTGGCTTGGACTTGAGGGCTTTGGGTCTAGGGGTCAAAACCCCTATCCTTGAGCGAGGTAGGCCCCTCTTATACAGAAAGGCGCCTTACGCAGAATCTTGTAGGGGCCCATCAGTCCAGCGAAGGTGCTGAGGTATATGACGTAGGGTTTTACCATGGATTATCGGTGTCTGTATACAGGGTTCCTTGCCGTAAATCAGGTTCCTACCTCATGATGTTATCATCATGTACAGTCACCAGCCAACTTAGACCTCCAACCTCCAGCCTTGCAAACCCTGAGATTTTGAAAGATACCTTAACTTTTCTGTGACGCACAGAGTTTTATCGAGGTGCCTCTGCATTCGCATCTCTCTAAAACTTTCTGGTTTTTAACAAAATCTCGCTGCTTGAGGAGATATGATTAACAAGAAAGAATATTAAGACCTGTTGTAGTTTTGGCTACAAAAACCTCAAGTTTTAAGCGCCGGTATGTTCAAACATTTGTCCTGGCTCGATCATGGGTATGAAGACCTGTTTACAATTCTCTTTAAACTGCTTTTGCCGTTTGCCGGGCGTGTCAGTCCCAAGTTCGCTGGCTATACAGGTTCGGAGGAGATTGCTATCCCTATCTCTTGCAGAATCATATTGCTATCTTCAGTATTAAGCGTGTCCCCTCCGATTTTGCTACTGCTGCTGCTGAAAGTATGGACCCTCTGCTCGGGCCTAAAGTCACTGCCCTCAAGTTTACAAAAACCCAGAGCCTAAAGCCTGAAGCCCCAAACGACAAACCCTGAAGCCTAAACTCCAAACCCCTGAACCACAACCTGAAACCCTAAACCCCCAAAATCCAAAGCCCCAACCCCAAAATAGCTCCGAGGTCACGTACCACGGTCGCTCTCCGGGGGTGGTGGATGTGTGTACTGCTGCCAGCGAGTCCTCTTTTGGTTCCTTTGGAAACTTCGCAGGTTGAGGTTTAGGCCTCTTTGGTTCCTGAGGAAGGTTTGCAGGTTAAGGGTTTAGGGGTCTGTTGGTTACTTCTGCTCGCTCGCCACGAGAAGTGGATGTGGGGTCGTTCCTTCTTGCTTCGCTTGGGATGCGGGGGGCTTGTTTTGAGTCCCTGCCTTTTAGGGCTTGGTTTGCAGGCCTTGTTCTTCAAGATTTTTTTTTGGGAGGGAAACTCGTTCGCTTTTTCGACGCTTGTAGTGCTTCCGTGCTCTCTTTTCTTTTTTTTTGAAGCTTGGGGGTTGAGCGTTCAGGGCTTGAGCCTCAGGCTTGTTGCTCACGTTGCTAACATCTCTTGTTTGTTGGTGGGGGCTTTAGGGTAAAGGATCAAGGGCTTGGGGGTTTTTTCCAAGCAGGGCACTCAGTATGTCGGGCTTTGGACTGTTGATGCTGCGATGTAGGACCTGAGAAGTAGTATCTCTGTACAGGAAGAGGCCTACCCTCGCCCAAACCCACACAGAACCCAAACGGGGCCTGCATAGACCAGTGCCTTTCCACTACAAGGAGGCAATATGGTGTAATATTCTAGTCTGGGAAAGCCCAAGCAACCCACAGCTGGTATCCTCGGAGGTGTGCAGAGAAGGCGTTATGCAAACTTCTTCAAGCCTCACTCCTGCGCATGAAGGCCTTGCTATGTTCCACTGGTTTGAAATAGGGCTTATCTCACTTACCTTTTGCTTTAAAACGCAGGCCTCTACACGATACCCATACGATGTCCCAGAGCAGCATCTGCGTTCTCTACCACACTCCCCTTCGAGCACCAGTACGCCAATGTACGAGGGCGGGTCGCAAGGGCTCGGTGCTTTCGACAAGAATCCGCCATGTGGTATCCACTGGTCCTCTTCATTTGGGAGAAAGGTACTTCACGGGAAGTGAGTCTGCACTCTACACCCTCAACGTGTGAACTCTGGACCTTAAACCCTGGGCCATAGCTCCTCTACCTACATATCCTCATATCCTTAACCTCCCCCCCCATGCTGACTCTAAATTGTCATCTCTGAAGTCGTATATAAGCCTGAACCTTAAAGCAGGGCTCCACGGCAAAGGATTGCACTGGTGTCTCTGGTATCTTTGCCTTCCATTCTCTATGCCGTTGCAGAGGCAAGTGGGGGTCGCAGGTCTTCTTTTAAAGTCCTGAGGGATTTTGGAAGCATTTGGCTTTGGGGTCCAGTGTTTCCCTGGGTGGGGATACCTGGCGCATCTCAGGAAAATGTAAGGACGACATGTGGATTGTAGGCGCTCCTCCTCAGATTCTTTACACGCTATCTGCAAAAAGCATCTATCCAGGGTGGTTGTTGCGTTTGTTGTCAGTTTCCTGTCATAGGACTTGATGCTTGATGCTTCAATCTTTCTATCCTGTTTTGTTTGACACCGTGGCAAAGAAGCTTTGCCAGCATGTTGGTGCTTGCTGGATCAAGGGCCTGGCAGTTTAGGGTTTCGGGTGCGGGTTTTAGCCCTTGGATGATTTCAGAGGGTTTTATGGAGAGTGGAGGGTGGAACAAGCGAAGTTGGGAAAATTGTTACAGAGGAGATTCCACTTGGCATGAGGAATTGTTCAGTCGCGGAGTGGCCATGTGAGCACCCCCTAATATATTGCTATCTTTATTACAGGGACACCCAAAAAAGGTACCCCTACATTTGGGGAGAATCGCCGGTACGTAAGCGCTATGCATGGCTCGTTTGGGAGAAGTTACTAGCCTGAGTAGCTGCCGGAGTGAAACCCTGGAACTAAAAGGGTTGTATAGGGGTATAATGGGGTATACATAGGGTTTACATAGTGTTCATATAGGGGTTCATCTAGGGGTTTTGCGTTGTTCTTGGAGGGCCAGGCTGAGCAGTTTCCAGCAGAAGCAGACGCGAGAGATGGAGCAAATGTGAGCAAATGTTACTTGGCCAAGTACCCAAATTTTGAAGGTGCACTGGAGTACCATCGGTGCGGAGTAGTTCTTTGACCTGGTATTAAACAATTTCCACTGCCCTGACACTGTCGATGGAGGAAACATTGAAGCACCTGCGGGCACTGGAACCAATTATTGTAGTTGCTCAGATCTGGGCAAAGGTAGACTGGTGCATGAGGCCCTCCATCAACAGCATTAATCACGGTCTCCAGTATGTGAAAGTCCCGCAAAGCTGTAATTGAGGAGTAAACCCTAACTGCCTAACTCATGAACCCTCCTCCCCAGGCACTCCCAAAAAACAACCTGCTGGTATCTGACTCCATCCTCACAATTGCGCACCGCACAGCTCCAATGTGGCTATGTCGCAGAGGGCATCAGATGTTGGGGTTGGGGTTGGGGGTTTCAGGTTTCGGGTCCAGGGCGTAGGTTTCTTGGGAGGGAGGCAGTGAAGGCTTTTCCTTCTTTTGTTGGACTAGGGCTTTTTGCTTCAAACCCCAGGCCGTAAACTCTCAACCAGACGAAGGTCTGTACGGTGCCTGTTTGGCAGTCCTCGGGGTCTAAACTTCAACCCATAAATCCAAACCCCTAAACTGTAGCTCCGATACTCCTAAACTCTGAACCCTAGAAACCCCAAACCCGTAGGCCTTCCAAAATGCCAGACGAGGTGCATCGTCTTAGTTGACATGGTCCTGGCCACAAAGATGTCAACTGTTTTTTCAGGCCACCTGCTTTGCGGTGCGGGGTTTTGCGGGTTGTCCCAAACTCTGTATCCCTCACCCTGAGCCGTAAATCCCAAACCCCAACGTGAAACCCTCACCCTACACCCTCAACTGTGTACGCTGTCAGTTTAGAGTTTTAATCTTCAATAAACCCAGAACCTGCACCGTGCAAGTTGGATGCAGGGTAGCGTTGTAGGTCCTTCTGGCCAACTTGGCGCCCCAAGCAGGTTTACCGCAACTCCTGCACAGTTTGGGTTTTCAGATTTCCTGTAGCGCTTGAAGGTGGAACGCCCAAACCCGAGGCGCGACCATCTGAACAAGCTGACTTAGCTGAAGGCAGAAGACAGCCCTCGAACCCCTCCCCGAATCCCCTGTCCCAACCTACACGGCTGGAGGAAACCTTGCACCACTTAGGAGATCCGCAAAATATCACAATTCCTAGCACCTAGGACTTCCTTGGATAGATACGGTTTCTAAAGCGGTGCAGAGATTCCTCTATCCCACTGCATCTCTTCTTGTTTTCCCAGGACTTTCGGGTATCAGAGAAGACACGCTGCTGATGACTTTCCGATTATGTTCCGCTTGGCTCCTCCCAATGGTGACCACGATTCTCCTGCAGGTCAGGGCTGAGCTCTACGTTTACTGGAATTACCATTACCAGTATTTTTAGCCTTATTATGCTTAGTGTTGTTATTATTGATTAACGTTACTATGAGTATCATTGCAATGATTACAATTTCTGTGGTTTTCACCCCGAGTTCATGAATAATTAACAGTAGGGTTGCAAGTAGTGCAACTATAGTCATCACAACCTCCCCCCTACCCCCCGAATGGCCTTAATTAGTTTGCGTTTTGGATTCAATGGTTCTATTGAATCCCAAGAATTACCCTACTCAAAACCCTAAACCTTGAACCCTAAACCCTAAATCCTAAACCCCAGGGCCCGAAACTGCAGGAACACTGCTTTGCTGGCTGGAAGCACTGGTGGCAGCCCTGCTCACCAGAAGATGTTGCTGCCAGATCATTGTTGGTTTAGGGTTTAGGGGTCTAGGGTTTAGGGGTTGAGGGTTCAGGGCCCTACCAGCCCAACCCTGCTTGAGCACTCTGTGAGCTGTAGTCTAAACTCCCTAAATGGGGTTATACACTATAAGGGATTCTATAGGGGATTACGAAAGGTGTTATTAATGGGGGATACTGGGAGTTTAGAAAACGGCTCATGTCTTTCCATGCCAGCGCTCTTGAGTCAGAATCCGGGTCCTGGATACATGTGCCCAATTCCGCCAAAATCCTTTTTGCTTCATTTCTCCTTGGATGAGACGTCAATATTTTTTCATCGAGAGCTCCATGCGAGGGGACCCACTCGAAGAAGTGCGGTAGCCTATGTATGGCAATAGTTAGGGGAGGTGTAACTAGGATTTATAGGATCCAATGTCCAACTAAGAGCGTCCAAGCCTCATCAACCCAGGCTAACCAGAGATACAACTGGATCATACACGCCGACCTACCCATCTTGAACACCACCCGCGACTCGCTTTGCGGATGGAAGAACTTTTTTGGCTTTCTGCACTTGGTCTCTCGAGGTGTAGGGTCTTTGGATTAAAGCATTTTAAGGCTTCAGGGTTGAGCGCCTAGGTGTTTCGAAGCTCTTACCCCTCAAGGCCGTTGTGGAAACAAGGTGGTGCCCCCTGAAGCCAGACACTTGACCCTAAATCCCAAATTGAGGTGATATGTGCCAGATGGATATTCGAAACTTCCTGGACGGAGGCTGCACAAGGTCAGTCATCGAAGGCCCAGCTCTCCATAGGCCATAAACCAACCTCCATAGGTTGCTTACGGTTTATGAGTTGAGGTTCAGGGTTCGCCATTGCTTATGCTTCAAGACCCTAAGGCCATCCTTGCTGGAGGCTACTTTGCCTAGAACATGAGTCTATGTCAGTCTAGACCCTAAGGCATTGGCAGAGTTCCGTGCTTGTTCAGGGCTCTCACAGTAGGGCCCTTCCAAATTTGCGTGGCTCCTTCTTCTGTGCTTTCCTCTGTTAGCACCGTGGACAATGCCTTGAGATCTAACACTTCTATCAGATGAGTAGTCAAGCCTAGGAGACCTGCCAGCACTCTTGCTCAGGCACAGCAATACGTACCAGTTGGCAACATGGTGAACAAGTTCCCTAGTCTATAGTCTAGGGGTTGAACGTGTCATTCAAGAAAGGCTAATGGTTGCCAGGCAAACTGTGTTCTCAGTATTCATTTCTTGACAGCCTTCTGGTTTACCTAAGCCCCTCAGACACTCAACCCTGCTCTAGGCCTTGGGCCCTTGGTGCTAAAGAAGCTGCTGCTCCGAATTTTCTTGCAGCCTTTGATTACGTTCCTCGTGTGGAAGGCTGGGCATCGCGGTGGAGGGTCTTTGGCCAACCCTTACCCCATAAACCTGTCGCCCTGAACCCCAAGACTGATGCCGGCAAATCTGAGCCCTATGTAAGCCTCGAGCCCTAAACCTTTCAGGCCTGCATCTTTAGCCCTACGCAAGAGCCCATTTTTTCTGCCCTCCACCCTCAGGCTTCGAAGTTGGAGGAGGCTCCTGGGATTGATCTCAAAGGACTTGAGAGGGAACCCCCAGGTCCCTTTAGAGGGGTTACAGGGCAATTTGGGGGGAGGGAATTCGGAAGTAGGGATAGGGTATAGAGTTTAGGTTTTCTCAACACAGGGGTTGGAGGTTTCCTAGAGGCTCGAGGGATGATGGAGGATTTTCTGGGGCCCCCACGAAGGATTTGGTATGGATTGCTTTGAGAGACTGCCATGTCAGACTTTTTAAGATGATCTCGAACCCCGAATTTCATAAATCCCCAAGCGAAGTCCAAGTGATAACCAGAGAATATCTTATAGTCGCTTGTAAAGTACTAGTATGGGAAACACTAACCTTTCGTTTTCTACCTGCCCAGTGTTTGACATGGATTCTGCTATCTTAATTCCACGCTCTGAAGCAAACACCTTGTCTGCGGGAAAGTCTTCCTGATTCCTAGGATTTAGGGTTTAGGGTCGCCCCTTCAGAGTTCTCTCTCAAAATGGTGTGTAGATTCTCACCACTGAACTAACATGGAAACTGCAAATGGGACCCTAGCAGATTGTTGAAGGGAATTCCGGGAAGGGTAGTCAGCAAGACGGAATCACATCTTCTCTCACATTTCCCTACTGTAGCATCCTTGATAGCCATAGGGAACCATAGCCTCCCATTTGTCAGTAACCTTTTCTTTGGTCTCGTCTTTTGCAAGCGGGGCACTTATTTGTTGTGTGGTCCAACCACCAAAACACACACTCAGCGCGACCTTCCAGCAACTCCAAGCGAGCTTAGGAACCAGTCAGTTCGCATGAATTGGGCCGGCACCTTCTGTTCTTGAATGTCGTCAAGACAAGCCGATCGCTGATACCCTTGCGACTGGGTTACTGTTGGAGCCTCTTTCTTGGCTTTCGGGGCTTAAGCGCAACAGAGCTGAGGAAGTACTGCAAAAAGCAATGGTTTGCAAGAATGGTTGTCACTTTGTTGGCAGAAGGGACGAAGACAAGAGATTATGATCCTATTAATTTTGTAACGTCCTCCTATACTCCAAAACTTAAACATGGTAAGATTTGGCATTTAAGTGTGAGGTCTCAGGGTTACTCAGGCTACTCTGTGTCTCAGAATGGTGCCCTGGCTTCTCAAAAGCCCAAGGCCCCGAACCCGAGGCCTTCAGCTGCTAATCCCAAGGCCCAAAAAGATCCTTAGCTCCAAAAGCTTTTCAAGAGTACACGTTACCCTCCAAATCCTAAAGATTTGATCTTGAAAGCAAGAAATCGTAAGCCCTCGCACCCCCAAACCCTAAGAGCCTTCACCTCAAATATTTGGCAAGGCGGCAACGTACCTATCTTACGACACTTGTGGAGGTGGCCATCGTTACCAGGATGAACCTTCATCAGGGTTTAGGGTTGTAGGGTAGAGCTCAGTCCCTAATTCCTTGTCACAAAGGGATTTGTTACCCCAGCTCTGCAAGAAAGGATCTTATGACGCTCATATGACTGACTCTTATTGGGTTCCGTGAGGGTTGGGGTTAACAAAGTTCTCTCATTCGAGAGTTGCTGCGAAGCTTCCCAACTCAGCCGGGCAAAGGGCGCATTGGGATTGTACCAGAGAGGGAGGATACAACTAAGCCCCAAACGCAAAACCTGAGGCCTAGGGCCTCAAAGTTTTTTAGGGTGTGGGGTTTTGGGGCTCAAGGTTGGTGGGTAAAATATTTTAGGTTCAATCCCTAACTTCTAAACCCTAAATAGGAGCTTTCAATTGATTATCCCTTTTCTTTTCCATTTCTGCAGTACTCCCATATTATTCCCATATTTACCCCGTCAGAGCCTCCATGTACGCTTATGCATTCCAAATATGGCTCTACAGTTTTCATTTTCTGTGCCATATGGTCGGCAGTTGCAGAAGGTTTGGGGCCCTCTGTTGCCTTTGGTGAGTTTCGGTATCGTGGCCACCATCATGGTCAACCTGCATCTGGGACATTGTTTGGAGTTAGACTGTAATACTGTACTACTCTTAGGGGTTTATAGCGGTTTCTAGAGGTTGTAGATCGAGGGTGTAAAGGGGTTTGTAGGTTTTAGGATCTTTTAAGGACAAATGCCCCCGAGGAAGGCGAGTCAAATTGACTTCTCCCTCATCATGACAGAGCGCACCGCGACGCCCAACACTCCTCAATTGACTCCTCCAATATCATGAGAGAGGGCACCGTGACGCCTAAAACTCCTCAAACATCATGTGAGAGCGCACCGTGGCGCCCAAAACTCCTCAGAGATCATGAGAGAGCGCACCGTGACGCCCAAAACTCCTCAGAGA